ATGTGTTAATTGAAGAAAAAATACTCTACGGTGTTAGATAGATAGGTTAGAAGAAATTGGTTAATTAAAGTAGTTTAGTGACAAATGAAGTGAAGAAGATGGATAAAACAAAAATTGGTAAGAGTACAAAGGCATAAATATGTAAATAACAGAGCACATTAACATCTATCCAATATATATTCATGGAAAGTATTTTAAGAAGTGTTGTATTTCGATTGATCAAATGTAATAATACACATTCTCTTGAGAAAAGAAAATGGTAGTAATATTTCACATTTTAATCAATAAGAACATAAACTAAAAGAAAAACATTGGTATTGTTTGGCTTGTATCTTCCCATTGAGGTTTAAGACTGCAATTGATCAGTCTGTTATTGGCAGTCCTAAACCTCAATGGGAAGATACAAGCCAAACAATACCAAGTGAATTTAAATTCACCCCGTTACACAAGCAAGTGGTTATCAGGACTCAGTAGCTGAGTGGATAACGTGATGGCGTTTGAAGCGAATGGTACTGGGTTCGAGTCCTAGAGTGCACATCAACGTCCAGCTGACGAGTCCCAAATAGGACGAAACGCGCGTCCTGGATTCCACTGCTAGCCACTATCCATCATTGCTTACTAAAAGAAAAAGTTTCTCGCAAATCTATATGAAGTAAAATTAAATTTCTATCTATCAAAAGTTATTCAGCAGAGAATCATATACTCAACCTGTAATGATAGATCCATGTACTAAGTTCAGTGAGAAAATGAGAAACTAAAACATCTAGATCATGCATTGAATCTTTTGATTTATTGATTTGAAAACTAGTTTTTAAATATAAGAAGTTATGACACATAAAATCTACAATTCTGCAATTGATTGGTATCCAAAATGTCCGTGTAATAGAAGTTAATCATTTTACTAATTGTATCAAACCAAAAAAACTATATTCATTCTGAGAACTTCAAATCACAACATACTGGATAATTTGTTTCAGAAAAACGTCTGTATATGTTTATCTGAAGGATTTTTTTGGTATTATAGTAATTTTAATAGTTGAGATCATGAATCAATTGAAGCTAGACCACCATGGAAAACCTGGAAACGTCCAGTGATTCCATGGTGGTCTAGCTTCAATTGATTCATGATCTCAACTATGTTATGACTTTATGTCCAGCTTTTTATCACGTGATCTATCCACCAATCAAAATACGACTTATACAGTCTTAACACTGTGCCAAACCAATGACGTTCGACCGGTATGAGCATCCTAGCGTCCTTATTGGTCCTATGTCCTCCCAGCCCGTCCACTTGAGTACAGAACACCAAATACCAGCTTCCAATATGCGAATCATATATTTCAAATATACTGTGTTTATATATCAACCAGACAGATCGCAACGCACCATAAAATAGGAAATAATATTTGTACACAATAAAGCCAAAAAGTGGCTGTGGACGTGGGAGGCAGTAATGAGCATAATTTAGAGACAGTAAATCGTATAATAATAAATTATAGGTCAAAATGAAGCTTATAATAAGAGGGATATAAATATACATAATCTAACTATTGAATAATTATATAATAAGAATATTTATAGAATATTAGTCCATTAATAGACCTCGGAAGTTACCCGTAATTTAATCTTCACTGGGATATAACAAACTATTAAAAAAATTGTCTGTTAAAATGACATCTCTCATTATCAATTTTACTTGACAGGAAACTAATAAAACTACAGGTAGAAATCAATGAAATTGGTAGAAAAAAGACAAATGTCTATAGACCAACTGTAATGATTACAATTTTAAAAGATGTAACTTCATTTCCTTATGATTTAATAATAACATCTGATTGCCTGTTTCCATAGTTTTGTGCACAGAAATAGTTAAATATGTCTATGAATTTTTTATCGTAGAAGGTAATGTGACTATATATCTTCAGTTTTTAATATTAGAAAATACTATAGAAATCTATGTACCGAATAAACTTGTGCAATTATAACAAACCAAGACTGAAAATCATTGCCTGAGCGATATATATATATATATATATATATATATATATATATATATATATAGCAGTTAATTAATGATGTACTATTCAGTGATAAACTACCGTTACAGTTCCTATAAACACTGAAGATTCATAACATTTAGTCATTCTATAAGTCAACATTTTGTTTTACATAACACTAATTTATCTAGTGAAACAAAATAACTTTGTTAGATATGAACATTTCTGTTACTGTCTGATAACGTTCTGCCTAATTCAAGTAGCCAATCACTCAACACTATTGCTTTATATCGTAAGTTTTGTAATCTGAAGAAACTATAGGAATTCAAATTATATATTAGGTTAAAACAATCCTACATTGTTCACCTAACAAAACGTGAATAACTTGAAAGTTCTTCAAGTATAATTGAATTGTAGTACTGCAGTGAAGAAGAACACGAGTGGGACAATCAAATGTATTCGATACGAAATTACAAAACATCTCAATGAAATCTGAGAACCATATAGTAAGTCCTTAATTTGCAAAATATCAATCCATTGTCTCAAACTTGACTGTTCTTTTTGCAAACATCAATCCATCATCTCAGATTTGATTGTTCATACACTTTCATACCAATTGAATTCCGTCCCAGTTCTTTCCTCATCGACCTACTGAAATACATTCTATGCCTGACCACTGTTATATACTACTTGTGTGGATATAAGTAACCCACACCACAGTACTTCTGATAGTAGTTGAAAACTTCTACACTAAAATATATGATAACAATGAACATCATTTTGGTTTAAGAGTGAACCGCAACCTAAAAGCTGATCAGAGCTAAAAATCAGAACTAAAATCAAAACCTATGGCTTTATTTAATTTTCATTTCTAAGATCTTAGAAAATCTCAAATGGTAGAAAAACTTTTATTTTATTAGCTTGTACAATATGCTTTAAAATTACATGATATTTTACACTCTGAATCTTATTGATTAGTTAAATACATTTTGATAGTTTCTAATCTTTTTTTCAATTCACCGCAATTTTTTTTATACATTTCATGATTATTTTAATATACACCTACATATGGTTATCAGAAAACACATTAATAAGTATATGGACTCATTAAAAATAGTGAAATTTCATTTCATAAAAAAACTATAAAATATATGAGAAATTCTCAATAATCCACTTCACCCAATCAAGGAATAAATCATTAATTCTTTTTAATAAGTCATTTAATCAATCATATTTTGTGGAAAATATTTTTTTTCGCTTCTTATCTCTGTATCAAGTTTATTTGTATTCTCAGAAAAGAGTATTTTGAATGGTTGACTATTCTGTAAATGTTGTGGGTCAATAAATATGGGTATTAACAAATAAACGTTACCTACCAAAGATAGGTGTTCAACCATTCGAACAATTTTATAAAGTTTAGTTACTCAACGATTTTCATAACATTTATGGGATGTGATAATGTTTCATTGATAATAGCTAGTGGATGTACCAGAATGCTTCGAGACTAGTCGACTAGATACCTTCGATTTTACTTATTGTTGAGTTTTGTAACTGTTCGGGAAGGTCATAAGCTGAAATTTCCTTTTTCAAATCAAACTTGATGAGCAGTAAATGATGTCCAGAGTTTATCAACTTGGTAGGATTCATTCAAAAATAGCAAGTCACCGGTGTTGTGATGGTAACTAACATTTTCAAGTCAATAAGCATTTAAGTAAACTAACTAGACGTTTTCAGATAATAACTACGAACGAAATCCTCACACTATGAAGACACCTGACTAAATAATATGTTACTTGTTTGTGCGAAAATTTGGATGAAACCCACGGGAAGTAAATAGAGGAAATGTCGACTATCCAATGGCAAAATAATTAAACTTGTCTCTATGTTGATTAATTAATACATATGGATTGAATTATTTAAAAAAATTTGTATTTTTCACTTAATCCAATTGAAGCAGAAAAGCGAAAGTAACACTGATAGCAGAATATAAGCGTAAATTGTTTCAATAACAATTGGATAAATACAATTGCAAAGAGCGACGAACGTACCTCTATATGGAACAATAAAAGATTTGCTGAAGTACCAGTTATCAAGGACCCTGGCTCAAATAAGCTTATCATATATATATACTATTGTTTAGCTTTAAAGCGAAAACAACTGATTATCACTAACTCACTTCAATAACTAAATACCAGTTTCTATGTATTAAGATTCAAGTCATACGTTGAATATAGTACGTCGATCATGATGTTGTATGACATGTCAAAGTTCTAGTAGATACATTAGATTTGAACCTACAACAACTCAACGATTTGGAGGCTTAAAGACATTAAACCATAGTTAAAAATTCCATTTTTTTTAAATGTGAAAAGATGAAGCATAAGCACAGAAATGAATATAAACACATATGCAACTTTTTTTTCTTTAAAAAGAAACGGAACTGTATTACAAATGAAATAAATGCATAAATATAAATTAATGATTAAAAGCTCTAAAAGAAAAAGAAAAAAATAACCGTCTTGTTCATGTACACGAAAGAAATAAGGAAATTTAAACAAAAGAGAAGCATTGACAAACAAGATCATAATGATAAAGCCATTAAATATTGCACACAGCAACAACAACAACAACAAAAAAAAATACATTATTCGCATGTATGAGTAGGTATGCCTATATTTATTTAAAAAAAAGATGGCTTGAATAGATGCCTTACGTGTACAATAAACACGAATGAATATGAGAGATATGATACTAATGGATACCATAAGGACAACCAAAAAATCTATTATTCACTAATATAAGAAGGCCATTATGATTTAGTATGTATATGGATAAACAGTACTAATGATACATATACAATAATTTTTTTTAAATATTAGATAGTTTAAAAACAGATTAAATGTAATAAGTAAGTAGGTTAATAACAAACAACAACAAAAAATGTCCAATACTTTCTGTTCTCAGTAAATTGACTGAAGACAAATAGAATTGAAATTTTTCTTATTAAATTTCGAAATCATCAAAACTATTATCTTGATGAAATAATCCAAGATGATGATAACGATTTGTATTAGTAAATCTATCCGTTTTATTTGAATTGAATTTGTATGCAGGATTTTCATAACCATTCAATTGCCAATTATGTATTAAATCGTTATGATGATGATTTGTTATTGATTTTGAAGTATTCCTAAAACGATTATGTTTAACTGGTAAAAATTGTGGTGAATTGACTTTTGGTGCTATTACTTCATCAACTTCTACAACAGTTAATGTATAACCTTTACGATTATATCGAATTGAAGCAAAATAACGACGTAAAACAATAAATAAACAAATAAAGCATAAAACTATTCCTAGAAGAATTAATAAAATATAAGTTGTTTTATGAACATGTATTTGAGTTGATAAATTAATAACAGTAGATGAATTGGATGTATTAAGTGCTGGATCAGAATGTAACTAGAAGTAAAATGGGATAAAAATAAGTAATAAAATGTTTAGAAATAATAAATCATGATAAAATTTACATTTATATTGCACGAAATCTTAAAACAACCACAGCATATAAATAACTATATGCTAACTAGTAATTGTCCCTGCTGAATGACGCGTACGATCGAAGATAAGAGTTTGTTCTACTTCTTCTTCTTCTTCTCCTCCTCAAAATGCTTACATATGACCAAGGCAACGAAGGATAAACTATTTTGAAAGTGTTTGATTGTCTTCTAGATTAAACCTTTTGGTGGAAGGCCTAGAGAGTGATTGAGCAGAAAAATCATTTCTTTTGGTTTGGATGTCAGTATCCCAGTCTACAAATTAGTATAATAGTGTATATTAATAATTTTGGATTGAATTTTCAATGACCATTTATTTTTATAGTGGTTACTGTTAGGTATAAATAGTTAGCTTATCGGTTATAACACTTATTACAAGTGAATGAATCCTTTATTTCTGTAATTTAAAAGTAAGATTAACTCAATTTCAGTAGTAAATGAATTGAAAATTCAGCAGTTGAAGAATAAGCTGGCAATTTTCCACTTCGAATTTCACATAGTGCTAGTTTTCTGGAAAACATAACTAGAATGATTCATCATAGTGTCACACAAATGTATTACAATAAGGTTGATGGTAATAATTTCTAGGATTTATTCTAAGACATCCTGTGTAAATTCAGTTATTAGATGTTGACAGAATAGGCCAATCTTTCATTACATGCTTTGAACGAAACTTATTAAGAAAAGTTAAATATATAAAGCTTCTACATAATTTTGTTTTAACCGAAATATATAATTGACAGACGTAGTTGGAACGCTAAAGACTATTTATACCAGAGGTAGATGGCTTCGGTAGTGCTGTGTTCTCTATGCTAGACGGTTTGATTAGGAAGCTTATGTTGTCGCTCTGGACATTATCAGCTGTTAACGCTCAACAATTAAACCATCTAGCTGAAAGAATGCAACAATCTAGAAAAAAACACGTATATCCACATTATTACTAATCATACAAAGTAAGTCCAAGGCATCCAACACATACCATAGCAACACTTATATTCTGATATGAACCAAATTGAACAGTTGTTTTATTTTCTGTTATTTCACCACTATTCATATGAGGTGTACGTTGAGTTTGATTTATTGATAGAGATGAAGAATAATCCACAGTGCTTAACAATGACTTCGCATCAATATCGACTAAGTTGTAAACTGTTGGAATAATTGTAGTTGTTTTCATTTGATGAGAATTAGAAAAGTCTTAAATAAATAAATCATGAGAAAATAAGGATAAAAAAGTACGTCAGTAGAGTTTTTTTTAATTTTGACTTCATATTAATAATAAACACTGAAAACGTCTATAATTCATCTCAAAATGGATCTTAATCGTCTGGAGTAATTATTCAGTAAATAGGTAAACTATCTACCAATCCATTCAATGAGGTATAATGAGGGATGTAACAAATAAAATGAAAAAACATGTACAAGACCTGACCAGCTACAATTTGCACAGTTGCACGGGTACTAAGATTTACTTATTCATGTACAATCAAAAGTAACACCACTACATTACTTACACAATGTCACTAAATGTGAACATGCTTTTAGGAAGAATGATGATTGGTGAAGAAAATGGGAACCTGTTGGCTCCAACGACAGTCAGTCCAAGAAACTTTACAATTGAATCACTACTAACACGGCCGGTAAGAGTAGAGGATATCCGTAGGTTACTAGTGTTTGATCATAGGTGTCTTCGACATATTGCTCGTATATCCTGGGTCAGTCAGTCAGTCAGTAACAACGTAGAACTTCGTACGTATGTACATCAGTTCGAGTTGCCACACCACATTAGCACAGAGATGCAGTTGTCGATTCAAATCCCGTAGTGGTAGAGGTAGCAAGAGTATAAGCAGTAATCGGGAAGATTAGGGTTTGGAGATGTTATTTAAAGAGTATAATCCAGTGAAATAAATTTGGAAAGAAGAAAAAACGGACATGAAGGATTCAGAAGATTATAATTTAGGAGAACACAGAGAGTGGATGCACCTGCGCCATTGCAAACGATTTTGAGCCATGTCATTCAGGGTCTCTAACCATCGGTTGTTATCATCTCGCGGTCCCCACCAGGTAGTCTACACCTACCAACATGACTCAGTTCACTTGTCAGTGACTTCATGGACTTGTGCCATGTTTTGGTTTGGCCGCCCCTAGCTTTCTTCCAACCTACTCCTACACCATAAAACATCGCACGTCGGGGCATTTGGTGGTTGGGCATACGTAACACGTGTCCAAGCCATCTCAACTGATGAAGTTTCACTACTTCATCAATTGATTTGCCATCCTTACCTAGTACCCGTTTCCTAACAACTGAGTTACTTACTCGATGGTCCCATGATATACGAGCAATATTTCGAAGACACCTATGATCAAATACTAGTAACCTACGAATATCCTCTACTCTTACCGGCCATGTTTCACTGCCATAAAGTAGGACGGAACGAACTGCTGCGCAGTAAACACGTCCTTTGGTTGATAGACGGATATCTCGCCTACGCCATAAATGACGCAAGTTGGCGAAAGCTAGTCGAGCCTTCTGTATCCTGGGACCATCGAGTAAGCAACACAGTTGTTAGGAAACGGGTACTAGGTAAGGATAGCAAATCAATTGATGACGTAGTGAAACTTCATCAGTTGAGATGTCCGAAACATGTGTTAGGTATGGCCAACGACTGACTGCCTCGATGTGCGATGTTCAGTGGTATAGGAGTAGGTTGGAAGAAAGCTAGGAGCGGCCAGACCAAAACATGGCACAAGTTCATGAAGTCACTGACAAGTGAACTGAGTCATGTTGGTAGGTGTAGACTACCTTGTTGGGATCCGCGAGATGATAACAACCGATGGTTAGAGACCCTGAATGACATGGCTCAAAATCGTTTGCAATAGCGCAGGCGCATCTACTCTTCGTGTTCTCCTAAATTCTAATCTTCTGTATTATTCATGTCCCTTTTCTTTTTCTCTTTCCAAATTTATTTCACTGGATTATACTCTTGAATAACATCTTCAAACTCTAATCTTTCCGATTACTGCTTATACTTTTATTAACTCGACCACTACGGGATTTGAATCGACCACTGCATCTCTGTGCTAATGTGGTGTGGCAACTCGAACTGATGTGCATACGTACGAAGTTCTACGTTGTTACTGACTGACTGACTGAAGACGAAAGATAACTGAATCAAGCTCTCAATTTGTAAGTTAAGTATTATCATAACCTACATGGATAGAATATTTTGTAATATAGATAAATGGTCATCCAGTTATTTTACAGTCACACATTGTTATATAATCAAATCATATTAAACAGGCTTAGAATAACATCTAGATAGGAGACTGTTCAGAATGTCAATCACAATCGTTCAGTCAACACAAGTACTGTGTACCTCATCTCCCAAAAGAGATGAAATCATCTAATACCAAAGATCACATATCAGTGATTTGCTTCACAGAAATCGAAATACTTAATAAGATAACAAATAAATATGAAACGAAATATCTGAAAATTAATACAAAATTATAGACGAGTAGATATTTCGCATATTATTAATATTTTAGAAGAAACGATAAATTTTAAAATGATAGTATAAATATATTCTTGATAATTTCAATAGTTTACTTTTATTTTGATTGCCTCCAAAAAGATGATCTGTCAACATTTTTTGTCTCTTAGGTGGCTTAATCCAACTTTTGTTCGATTTGTTGGTCGTCAGCTTGTCTAAATATAACGGTTCTAGATGATGACGATGTTTGGCTATAATCTTTTCAGCTTTTAATGATGCCTGTTCTTGAAATGTAGGCAGTTTAATCATATCTGGTAAGGTAATATCGGCGAATAAAACAGCTTTTGACTGAGCTTCCGATTTGCGATATTTGTTATTTCGAAGATAATTTGCATAAGTTAACAAAGATGAGTTTAGTTCTGGATGCTACAATGTCGGTATACAAAAAAAGCGGTTAGAACTATCGATACAAGAAATAAATATAGAGAACAGTGTACATATATATATATAGTAAATGGAATGTAGCTAGCAGTAGAATCCTAGCTCCAATTTACGATATATTTAATATGGTGATCCTTTATACTCCTACTCCCCACGGTTATTCTGGAACACAAATATAGATCCGAAGACTAATTGGAATTTGCAAAGGCTCTTACTGGGAAATTTACTTATTTTCATAAGATTAAGATCACTACTCAATTAATTCATGCCATTGAGTCTACTTGGCCATCATTAGTTTTTTCATCTACTCTTATGAATGCTAGGACAGAAAATCGAAGTGAAAGCTGGTTGGGAGATTTGTTACACCTCCCCAACCAACTCGGGATGACCAATAAACCCAGCATTTCTATCTATAATTCTACAATTACGCCATCACTACCCAATTGTTGACTCCATAACGAATGAGCAACCTTATAAATACATTAATGACCACGTGCCTTCTGGTTCCATAGATAACGTCACACACTCAGTCATTCACGACGTAGGACATGGCACTAATGTGTAAAAGCTATGGTTGCCACACTACTTTAGCATAGTAAGATAAGTTTAACAAGATGAAACCCAAGGTATTATCCATGATTGTAGAAAAAAGATCTAAAATAAATAAGACAGGTTCGGAGAGATGAAAGAATATAAATTGGAATTTCGCACAGTATGACGGCTTTCCGATAATTAGATGAATATATTGTCTGTGACTCAGGTAGCGTAAATCAGTAAGAACCTAACGAGCTGTTAGTATACATCGCAAAATTTCATCAACTGATAGGAAATGCTACTATATAAATGAACCGATCAACACCGATGATCATTTCATTCCCTATCATTACAAACTAGGCACTGATAATAATATGTAGTTAGTACAACTCTGCATCTTTTCTCTTTCATTTGATTTTTATGGCCACACTTGTATTGTTTTAGATTGACAGGGATTAAGTTTGCGAATATATTACACGACAGTAACCGATGTCAAGATTAATTACAATGCCAATGGAATTTAAATACCTCGAACTATCAAATAACTGCAACTAATAAAAAGACTTAAGATGCATAAATTTATATCACTTATAACATTAAAATTTAGAAGAGGAGTCAAACATTCGTTTGACGACTAGAACAATAAAGTTTTATTGGTGAAAATACTTACCAGGTTTATTTTTTCCAAACTTTTATTAAGCAAAATATCAAGTTCAACCAATCTGTCCTTAATAGATGCTAACTGTTGAGCAGCTTCAGGTAGCTCCATATTGCGTAAACGTTCGAATCGTTTAACATAGTGACTGCGGTCATGTTCAACAACTCGGAATAAACGCTTTAGCGTTTCAAACAGCGTGAAATTCTGAGAGTCAGTGGTATTGAAAATAGGCAAAATAAGGCATACTTTACACTTAGTAAATTGATTCTTTGTTTTTAGGTAACAACTACGAAAGTAGTATGCATAAAAACACTATTAGACAAAATCATTTGGATTCGGAAATATACGTATATAACAATTCCTGATCACATTTTTCATAACTACTCGGTCAACAAATCAAATAAGACATGTGAAAATTAAAATATGCCTGGTAAAAACAAACCACTGATTTATTTGCGTAACAAATTGCGACGCTATCTGTGATTAAACTGTATTTTAGAGGATATGCTGAGGGAAGAGTAGGAAAAATTAATTCATGAATTTTTATTATTTTTTGGGAACTTGATTAGTATACGATTTAGTGAGCACAGCTTTGAAAACGTTAGATTTACCTAAGAGGGAGCAAATAAACTATTTCTTTTACCAAAGCGTTCTTGACAGCAAGACCAATATCTATGTGATCGCAGTGATCAAGTCGACGGCGATTCACTGATTAAAGCATTAAGCTTGTATCTACGCAGTCACGGGTTCGAGCCCGTTCCACCCGCTCCCGATAGTATCACTAGCCCTAATATATAGTGTTTAGAAACCAAACACACAGATCTGCACTTGATGAGTTAATTCATCACAATAAAACATTTTATTGTTATTTTGTATTTATCAGACGGTAATCAGGCCCTATTATCCTCTAACAATTTTTCATGATTATTATTCAACTGTTTTTATGACATTTCTGTTGCTCGCTTTTCTTCATATCTATCAAGTCGACAATTATCTCATATTTTTAGCCGTAAATAATTCCCATAACCCTTTGTTTATGAAACCGAATTTCGATATTCGAGATATCAAATCACTTTATGATCTCTCCTATCTATTTATAGACTGATATTTTATCAGACAACCATAAATACCAATGTACAGCTTAAGTAAGTGATTTCGTCGAAAATAAAATTTTCTTCGCTGAATCATCTTTATTCAATTAGACGACGGGTTACTTTAATAATAGTAATAATAATAATACTTTGATAGTAATGATAATACATTGATAATATAGCTCAGATTTCAACCAAATTCATCCATGACTAATAAAAATTAGTTATATGATACGAGTAAACATTCTATGTAGTACAATGTAAAACAATAAAAACAAAATTACTTCTGTGTGAAAACTCACATTTGGATTTTTAATATTCACAGCCTTTTCCCATGCATTCTGCATTGCATTTCTGCGTTCAAGCATTTGAGCTTCAATTCGCTGATGATGAATTGTTTCCAAAGTCTCCCGATCTCGTTCCGACTGATTTTCCAATTTAATAAATTTACTCCGAAACTCCTTACGAAAATTAACAAAAGGTATCAAAATAACCATTCAAAATGCTTAGCACAGTTTAATAAATCACAAAGAGTTAATGAATGAAGGTATTTATATCATATTCTCAAAAGACTTTCTAAAAAAACGTACAATTTTCAGTCAATAAATTTTAACATATAAAAGTTGCTTAATCCAGTTTAATATTTCGGTAGTGAATTTGTAAAGTAATTTTTTCATATCCTTTGATAACTTTATAATTAAGTAATTGTAAAAAAAAAACAGATGTAATAAAACTTTTCCTTCGTTAATTTTGCTAATACTGTTTCATCATGAGACTAATCGAAGTGACGTGAATATTTGTTGTATTTATGTGTGGAAGAAAAATTAGACTCAATAAAATAAATAAGTGAATATGAAGAATTTTTCGAAAAGCCCTTGAAATAAAAGTACCAGAAATAGTTCAGATATAGCTGTTTTAAAAGAACTCAACAATATAGCTGTTATCCTTAAGTATTTGAAGTAGTATTACATTACCTATTTCCTGGTTCCCTCAAACTAATCAAAGAATATTCATCCGACCCACAATGGAGCAAGAAATTAACACTAGGAACCAGAAAACAGGTACTCTTACCATACATGTAAAACATTCAACGATGTTGAGAAATTCAAAAACAAGTGCAGCCACAAGCTCATAATCCAACCCATACCATATAATCCACATCAAGGACAGAAGAAATATGATTTATAAAACAGGCTGCAGCAACTGGAAGAAACGTTACACCAGACAACATGGTACCATCTTTGTGTGTGAACATATATCACCTGAGTAAGTCATAAGCTGTTAAAAACCCGGCTTAAGTTGCCACACCACAACAACACAGCGAGACGGAGTTGCTCAGATAAGTGCATAAATAACTGTTAACACGAGGTCGACTGAGGCGTTGAAATATTGGGCAGGTGCAAACACTGGACCATGGAATTTCAGGAGGTTTGGAACTTAAGTCACTAAGGAATCAGCAAGCAAATTAGGATATAACCCACGGTACGACTTAAGAGTGATCTCAGTGGAGTGGCTGGACTTATTTGCTATCACCTCTGAATAACAAGTTTGGTGTAATCTCAAATTTCTCATTCTTCAGTTTTCTTAGTTTCGACTGAACTATGTTTATCTTCGTAATTTTCTATTAACATTGATACTATTTCCCTTCCAGTTCTTCTGAACTTGTTAATTTTCTCTTGCACTATCCCAATGTAAAGTGTAGCACTCCAACTGATAAGCATTCAAGCCAGGTTCTGTGTTACGACAGAGACTCAATCAATTGGTCACTAGTAAAAATGATAAAAAGCTACAAGACTAGGCTCGGAAAGAAAATAAACAAGATATAAGGATAGATAATGATGTCGTAATAATTGGGAAACACCCGTTGAAAGCATCATAGATACACCACGCCAATATAATTATTATTTATTATTATACAGTCCACAGGAAAAATTGCTAAACATAAAAATCCCGTGTTTACATTTGACAAAGAACCACTGCTTACAGATAGTGTACTGAATCACAAAAGCCGTGTGAAGGCTGTTAATTAGACTCCTTTATCCAACTTAAATGAAACCAGTTTAAACTGATGACCCATTTAATGAGGGTTACCTATAGTAATCAATAAGTCACAGTTTTCCGAGACTAGTCATATGAATAAACGCAATACATTTTAGAACGAAAAAACAAGAGTAAAAATAACAGAAAATTACTGTAGCAAATTATGGTACAAATCGACACGAAACAAAGAAGTATGAAGTTAAAACGAACAACAACGACACAAGACAGTGAAAAATTAGGGTTGAACTAAAGAAATAACTTTGTTGCTCACTTGAACTAAACTGTCCTCCTCGAGCTGACTTTTAACTGGTTCGTTCAGCCAGTCTTCAGGTGAAATCAGTGATTCTTCACTTGAAAATTCTTGCTCTAGCACTTTTTCCCGTTTGTGTAAGTCATTACTCAATGCTAATTTAGCTTGACTATAACGTTCACGCTCAGGTATTAATAAGCCAGAAGAAGAATTTTGTTTCGTGGATGACAAATAATTAGTGACAGCTTTGTCACTATCCCAGGCATCATTCTCGGTGGAAGTCAATTTATTACCCAAGCGATTGAGTTTATGGGACATTGAACCGGTCTTGTTTCCAAGTTTGGTAAGTGGTTTCATAACGACAGCAGAATCTAAAATCAACATCCAATAGATAAAACTAATCATATATATATATATATATATATATATATATATATATATATATAAGTGCGACAACGTAGATTCTTCACGAGCTAGCTTTGGTATCCAACATTTTGAACAAAATTTAATCTCAACAGCAAAATTAAGTGAGATATGTATTATCATCAAAACACAGGTTGTAGGCGGAAACGATTTTACTTGTACATCGATACTATGTCTACACTTTGGTAAAAGAGCCACTAATTAAGTGAGGATTTCAAAAAGTAAAAAATCTATTAAATAAGAACCGACGCTGTGCTAGTAAGAAGATTTACAGCGAACAGACCCCTAAAATAGGGAGCTAATTTCTGGATACTCGAGATAGGACTAACAGCAGTTGGATGAATGACAAGTTCGAGCCTTGCTCCATGCAATTTAGGTTAGGGAACTAGGTAGTGTCACCACTCCTTACACTTAGAGTACGATTTGAAGCTAAGAATATGAATCTGTGCTAAATTTTAAAAAAATCATATGCTTGACGTTGAGACACGCTCTGTGAAGGTTAATGATACTACCACGCTGGCCAAACCGAAGTGCGGTGGACTCGGGTTTGCAACCTTGAGAATAAAAGTCAAAAGTCATAAACACTAAGCTACTAAAAATTAGGCGGCCAGAGCATGGAGCAATTCTATGAAGAAGAGGATGGACTGCTAATTCGTTAAGATAGTAAAATGAATTCCAATTTGCCTGCGAGACAAAATGATAACATGGCAATTAATTGATTTGGTTTGCAAAGAAACATCAAGCATTTACGCTAACTTGACATCTAAGTGAGAGCGTACAGCCAACGAATCAATAGCAATGAAATAATCGTAGTTCTGTTACTATTAAGCTAAATGAACTGCATGAAACAATAATATAAACGATATTCCAGAGGAGAAATGATTGAACTGAAGGAAAACAAAGCCTTTAGTCTAAAAATCCTACAAGTAGCATAAACTATCCCCGATTAATGAAATGCTGTGGTTCAGAATCGTCTGTATAGTGTTTAAAAACGGGATTATTTTTACATTTTAAGAAAACTATTTTGGTGGTACTTTATGTTGATAATATGTTATTGCGTGAAAATAGGATCAACAAGGCTTGAAGCTGAGATAAGCACGAAACAGTTCCTTTATGTAAAGCAGAATAATGTATATCGAACGACGACTCATGTATTATCAGTCTAGTGATGAAGTGAAGATAATTTAATTCAATCTGTACACATTCCAACAGACCACATGCAAAACTTACTTGTAAATTCAGAGTCAAGATTTTCACAACACACTACTTTAGCAGCCGCAAAATACATAGAACCAAAGTCCTTTTCTCTGATACAAGGTTTGAATGGTAGATAGCTCTGAAATCGCATGTTGCGTCTCAGGCAAGCTTCTCGGGTGAATTCTCCCAGAACTTGTAACTTTCACAGACGTAACTCCGATCATTATCAAGGCTGCTTAACTGACAACCAACAGGAGTAAACAATTCGGACATCGGGATATTATCTACAGAACCAATTTTTTAATAGTAACATTTGAAACATACCAAGGCATATAAATGGCCTAATCTCATGTCGTTCATCATCGACTTTTTGACACTTTGCAAGTTTTCTATGTTCGAACTCACACCAATCTGACAGTACCACGTCAATAGGAGGAGAGGCGACGACTGCGGTTATGTTTCTTTCTCTGTATACTTTCTTACAATAATTCAAGATCGACAATTCATCCTCAAGGCAATCCTGAGTAAAATCCGTCACCCAAAACTCATTGTTTAAATAAATGGCCGGTTTACCACACTCAAATGCTACTGAATACAAAGAGTGACCCAGAACGATGCAATTAGAGAAAATCAAAAAGCCGAGGAAGTTGAACATAATGGGCTAGAAAACGATATTCGGACAGTTAAAATGTCTGGAATACAAATTTGTCAGACGAACCCAAAGAGGAAACAGATTTATTAGTAAGAACATAACAAATTAGGTCAGCCAAGTAAGTTATAGCCTGAAAATACAAGACAAACAAAACGACTTAAATGAGCCTCAGAATAAGTCCACTTCATGCACATGAAAGTGTTATGTGGTCAAAAAAAATCAGATCAAGTACCTAACCATATATTGTGACTAGACAATCTAATGAAGGCAGGAAACCCGCCAAACTTAGCAGTTTTAAAGCAACCGCTTATAGAGTTCAAGCGAGCTACCGACCGGAAAAAACAACTATACCCTAAAACAAACTGAATTTTTTGCCACTAAAACTTCAAGGACAACAACCGCAGCTCTTAGATCTTTAAAGTGTTGAGATGCTTAGTGACAAGATTTATTGAGGGTTCTTATTAAAGAAATCTCTTATTCATGCAATAATATAAAACTCTACCCCCATGTTTTGAAGAATACTCAGTATAGGTTCTTTAGACTTGCGAACACATTCTTTCTGTTCACGGCAATTTTATGAATCTTTCTAAAATCTATTTCCAATGTACATAATACATTTTCCTGAAAGCAAACATGTGGATGAGTAAAACTACCCAAAACTATGGCGGAATTAAGTAAAGAGGCCGACTAACAAAAGCACTTTAACCTATCTATTGCGTTTGGCTTGGAACTTGAAGTAGTGAGATCTCCATGGGCCTGATGTCTGACTCCGTTTGACGATCAAGTGAACAGACAACGAATACACCATGAAAATGAAGTCTCCGTTTAACTTCATGTGTACTGATAACAAAAACACATTTGTGCGACGGCGGAAAGGAAAGCCAGGCATTGATTCACTCATATGGACATTAAGTTGAGAAGTGAAGCAGAGAAGGCAAAGGTGCCTATTCGAAATGCTGCTCAATACAAGCGTTATTATGGCATAAAAAAGAATGGCACGTAATGTGACGAGGAAACAGGTACAAGACATAACAATTAGTGTACAGACGCACAAGGACACACAACGTCTACAGTCTTAAAATTACAGGAAGATGAATACTTTTCCCCATGTATGTTAAAAGTCACAGTTTCCTGTGGAAAGAAAGAATAAAGTTATTATGAAGATAAAATTGACTCAACAGTACATACTCTCTGAGGTTTTGAAGTCTGTTTGAAAGCTAGGATAAACGATGCACGTGTGTGCGTATTTAACGATAAATTACACGAAAAAGATGTACTAGGCATGTTTGACTTTCTATTATTGTTCAAAAACATCTTATGGGTACATGGGTGTTGTGAAGTAACCATTTCAGGTTTCATCAAAAGTGCAATAATACACAAGTTTCAATAATGTTAGCATTATATGTGCTATGATTCAAAAAGCGGGTAATAATAATAGGATAATAATAATAAATCAGGTTCTGTGTAATTGTGAAGGATATTAAATTGAGTTTAAAGGAAATGGAGAAAGTAAGGGAACGGTGAAAAGGGACGTGAAATGCGCAAATAGTTTAATAGGAGTGTTTATGAACACAGAACAAGGATAAACGACTATGTATATATCGTCAAATTAGTAACAGGAATAAAATAGAAAATAACAGAAAACATAACTCATTATTGCATTAAGATGTGATGCTAGAATAAGTGTTTGTGCCGTCATAGTTTGGAGTGATGCTATGAAAGTCACAATGAGGTGAGAAGGGTAACCAAATATCAATATGTGTGAGTCATATGAACATGGTGAAGATAAAACGAGTCTGAGAAGCTATCTTAAAAACACTATTTTATCTGCGGCATAATGGTAGCGGAGAGACGAACTTACGGAGCCGTAACATCGTCCTTTAAAAAAACAACGAAATGTACGGTTTATATACATGTGTTGAACATCCATGTGACCATAGGCGAGCCAACATGTGCATAAAAAAAAACGCACTCATAGTGAATGTGAGAGTATAATACAGTAAATGCTAGCACCAAAACTCAAGAGTGTGAGAACAAAGTATGGTAAATCGTCTATTGTTTATGAGTATGATAGAATAATAATATCAGAAAATGATTGAGGCAGTACTTTGTCATTAGAGAACATGTCTGTAGTGTCAGTGTAATGCAAAGATCGAACATAGTTGTGTGCGAGCATGCTTGTATAGACCACAGTGGAGTAAATGGGCTGATGACCAATTCATGATTTTGCACATACATAGGATAGATTTTTTATGTTGAAGATTATATATGTAACGAACGTGTGGGAACAACCATAAACTCTGGGTTATAATTTACTATGCATTAGGGGAGCATTGTCACTGAAATGATTAAGGGATTCCAGAGCAGTGAATGAAGTACACTGCAGTTACATATGTGTTAACAAATAGGTGAGATGAGCTGCTTGTTATCAATGGGATACGGATGTAACACCTGAAATCCGATGAATGTTAACTAAGATGTACGAAATGAGCATCTACAAGGACATCAAAGTTATCCATATGAGATCACCATAGCTACGAGAATAAATGACGTGTAATCAAAGCGCTAAAAAGATCAGATATTGTAACAGACGGCCAACAGTTAAGATGGTCAGTCTTAACGAAAGGTTCATTTAATCAACAAAACCCACAAATAATTAATAAAGTACGATAAAGGAAAGAGAAAACATCTTTATGATATGAGAACACAGTAGTAACTTCAGATACATGTATTAGAATGTAATAATAGATTAATTAAACAAAAAACGTTTGAACGAACTCACAGGAGGAAAACTCCACGTTACTGAAAAACAGTTCAATGTGTTGTTTATAACATTATAGTTTGATAAACAAGAAAATTAAATATATGAATTCCACAATATAATCTCAATACGAATATTTATGTTAATTGTAGAACCCTAAATAGAAACTAGACGCTGACACAATGAAAATAATGATATCTGTAACAAAACAGTCCACGAGCTACATATACCAAAACTATTAGTTCGTATTTGATATGCAGTGGAAATAATTTGATTCATGAACGTGGTTTTTTGTACATTGCTTAAGGAACATACAATATGTTTATAGAATAATTGATTGAATCGGTATTGAGCGCATTTGTTCTTGTCATAAGATAGATAACCTATCACTACACACCGTGGACGCCAGCTGGAATCTGGAGTTTTCCGCTGTCTGACTAAACTTTTGGGAATCCCACGATCCTGAATGATCGTCTACCACCCACAAGCAAACGGGTTAGTAGAACTCCTTCACCGACAACCCAACCAACTTAAGCTGTTACAAGCTCCACTATCAGCTGCAAACGTTTCACAGTGGACCGACGCTCTTCCACTCGTCTTACTAGTTATTCGCAATGCAGTGAAAGCTGACATTTGATACACTGCAGCTCGACTCGTCCATGTAATTACACTTAGACTTCCAGGAGAATTCCTGGATCCTTCATCTTCTTCACTGAATATGGATCTAACCTTCTACATGAACAGGCTTACAAACGCAATGCGTTCAGTTAAACCTGTTTCCACTTGACTGCAGTCAATTGATGTAGAAATCGTTTATACGCTATCGCATGTGCATGGGTTTATTTTCCTTTTTTCACCCGCTTTGTGTCTTTACGCATGTACGAGTATAATTCGACATGCACTTACATATCCTTTTCTTCTTTTCCAGGACGACTGGAAAGACGATAAAGAACGACGAAATTTTACGACGAACCGAAATTTTCACTGTACCTTGTTTCTTTATTACTATATTGTACTACATGGTCCCTTATAGTAAGGGAAGACGACCAGACGCTGATAAACATAGCAAGCTATCAGAAGTGTTTACCAGTGACAAACTCGTTGGGTCTAAGCTTCTTGCTGGCCACGTCTTAGAGTCATTACTACTCCACTAGGGGGAGAGTGATCTGTAGTGGTAAGTCTTTGACATTGATGCTGACTACACTATTTTTAATGGACTCACATAGCTGAAGGCACTTGGTCAAGCATTTGCACCAGATCACCGTGCTCAACATTCCCTGCAATGGCTAGCCAGTCTAGATCAGTCAATCTTTGGTATACTGATGTTCTATCAAATATATCTTCGAACGTCCTTGCTTCTGAGTTTTGATTTCGGTTGTTGAGTATGGTTCATAGTAGAAGGTGTTATGAAACTCCAAATACCTGTGGTATCTTCAAACTTAATCGCGAAACTGTAGATTTTCTATGATGTGACTACTTAATGAATAAGATCTTGAATGGAAGTCACATCGTTGTCCATATTGACATATTTACAATGAAAGGGAAGAAGTTATATACAGTGACCGACTCAGTGTGGCCGAGCCACACCCCACAAAATGTCTTCCCGTGTTCACTACTTTCGACCTTTCCTAAGTGGTAAATTTTGCGCGTAAATCTTCTCAGTTATAGTATTGTGGTATTTATATGAACTAATTATATCTTTGTAGTTGATTCCTCGCTGATTACGACTCCTAAATATAATACGCTCATTTGTGCTCATCTAGTTCTACCTGCTGTAGATTGCAATGTACTGGAAGTTCCTATTTAGTACACCAATTGGATTACTTCTAATTATCAAGGGAGCCCTTGATTGGACATTTGGATATACGTTCGGATTCCAAGGCTTTCGAAGATTATATGGATAGGTTTTAAATCTGGTATATAACTAGGAAAGATGTTGTGGATAATAAAATTGTGGCTAATTTTTTACATTCATCAGTAAGGATTCTACAGCTTACAAAAACTTTTGGCATTCCCAGATAAACCTATTCCACTTCCTTATGAAACTCTCAAAGAACTACTATTAAGTCTTGCAAAGTCTATTAGCTCTGAATGCCGTGAAAGAGCAAAATTTCATAAAATGGTTCGTCAGAATCATCAAAAGATGTGAGGGTTTATCTTTGAATTTCAGAATCAAGCTAACAAGTGTAATTTCAGTGACCAACTTTATGTGAAAGTGCGTGATCGATTATTCGCAGGGATT